CAACAAATAGTGAAATGAAGTCCACAAGCGTTAAAAAATTGATACAAATTATATTTACAAATACTGCATGTTAATGAAGTATTTACAAATGGGAATTTTTTTGTGCCACATCTGAGAGACATACATCTCATAACACGTTCATGTCTAAGGAGCCAATTTTATAAATTTTCAAATGAAAATCATTCACAACTAACAATATTGAAATATCAACAATTACTAACGAACGTTTTCCAAAGAAGCTTTCATAAGGCACAAATCCTTCACCTCGAAAAGAATAAAGAAAAAAACAGTTTTAAAGTATGGCTCTGCAACTTCCATCATGACACAAACTTTATCACATCATGAGGCAAACTGAACACAACTATTCTGAACACCAATTCATGAAAATTGCTGCTTGGTGGTTAGACTCCGAAGTTGAAAGGGAGTAATTCCCAATTACAACATTGAATGAGCAATCTGAGAGGTTAAATAAATGTTTTTTCGTTTTTAATCCGTCGTCTTGCCATACTACGATAACGTTAACTTCCTTGTCTCGTACAGACTTACAATATCTACACGCAAAGAAATCGAACACAATGTTAACGACATCAAGAATAAGTGGGAGGCTGGGAAGTTATCGGAGGAATGGGTTCCGTCGCATGAAGAGGTCTGATCACGGGAGACGAGCGGGTAAGAATGTCATCAATGACCCGTCCCGCAGTACGGGTGCTGTCCAGTGGTTGCAGACAAGCTGAGGAGGGAGTCTTTTCCGCACGACGTGGAATCTGAAACATCAGTAGACAAATCAAGATTAATAGTTCTTGGTGGTCTTTGTATAGGGAAACTTATCATTGTTATTTCACTTTTGAGACTTTTGAGAGTTTGATCGGGTTACGGGATACAAAATGGAATGACGCTCGATAAAGCGCTTAATACCCAATGCACATCGGGGACCTTGATCGGGTTTCGGGAAACAAAGCAGGATTACACTCGATCGAGGATTTTAATCCCAATAGACTTTGGGGACCCTAATCACGTTAAGGGGTTCAAAGCGGGATTACGCTCGATAAAACGCCCTTTACCTGTCTTGGCCCGCGTCTAATAATGTTCCCTTCCCTCACGAGAACACCAGCAGATATGTCCATAGCGTCCACCTAACAAAATAAGTAAATAAATAAATACGTGGAAAATAAATATGGCTAAATCAAATGATTCCTTTGTGAATCCTTCAAGTAGAGAAATATATGCTCCTGGCAGACGTTGACCTTTCCTAGAGGGGTCGGGAAGGTTATAAGCCTTGTAGATGTGAAAACTACTCGAAAATTTACCAATCGCGTACCTCAGTTACTCCGAGGTTTCCTGCACTTCGGGAAGTTCACTTGTTTTAACTTTGCGTTATCATTGGTTCCTTACGATTTTAACCCTTTCACCCCCAAGATATAATTAGTAATTCTCCTTACTGTCTTCCATAGAATTCTTATGATGTTAGTTTAGAGAATTTGGTATTGGATCAACGAATAATCCCATAAATGATATTTTTCTTTATTCTCATCACCTACCTGCTTGATACTGTATTAATATTGTAAGGAGAAATTCTGTCTTGATCACTTGTGGGGGTGAAAGGGTTAAACCTTAGTTCTCATTAGCCGATAAGAATACTTTGGTCAAATGCACTCCTGTATAGGAACTGAAGAGCGAGGTAATGTAATTCGTGCAAAGACAAGAAAATCATTTCTTTATCGAATTCAAACACCGACAAGTGCTTACCAACGGAGGTGGTAAGGGTGTTATGTAGCCAGCATTTTCCGTCTGATATGATGCATTATTTATCGAACTTGCATCGATATTTTGCTTGAGACTTGCATTTTTGGAAGCCTTTAAGTCCTTCGTTGCTTCCATCTTGCGGGGATTTTGGCCGTATTTCCTAGGTCTTGTCCGAGAACGCACTACCTGCATGTCATTATCATCGTCCACTACCGAAAATTTGGTTCGAACCCTGTTGAGAAAAAGGGTAAATGGCTTGGGTGTAATATATTTTTAAAGGATTTTGCGCATTATATCTAATCCTCCCCCCCTCCACCAATGGAGGGTCAGACTTCAACACCCCCGTATTCTGTTGTCGACACCTTTGATGTATGCATCCAATTGCTTCAAATTAATTTTAGGCTCTTCTGCTAGAAAAAAAAGTATTCAGACAGGCCTTGTGCCAAAGGTTGTTCTCCAAAGGAAAGGAAAGGAGGGAGGGAAAGGGGATGCGTTTATAAAATGAAATATGCCACTCAAGTGTATTCAATCAGGAATCAGGGATGCCTGCTCTCTCTCTCTCTCTCAAAGAAAAAAACTCGAAGTAAAACATTTTACCTGTGCGATGGAAGCTTATCCGGTGAAATCTTCATTACGGCTACTACATTTCCCCTCTCATCATAGAGCACATCTTTAATGCCTGGTGGCCGGCCATACTGTGCCTGTGCAGAGATAACGTACATAGCAAAAATGACTTCTGTTCAATTGTGATTGTAACCTGCAGGACAGACGTCATTTATTTTTGGGGGAGGGGGCGTTTTTTTAGGCAAGATAGAGACACTCCCCCCCTTCATCCACTTTAACCAGGACAGAGGTACAGAGATGCAACAATGGATCTACTGTTCACGGCAACATTTCGAGGAAGTGGGGGGGAGGGGGGGGGGAAGAAAGAGAGAGAGTAAAAAGGTAGGAAGCAGGGAATCTATGAGGGAAATAATTCATTCATTTGCACTGCTTTCCAAAAAGTGGAAGGTGACAGGAGTCAGAGGAACGAAGACAGGAGAGCACGTTTCAAAAGCAAAAGGTTCTCCTCTCCCTGCCTCCCTTCCAGTGAATTGATGAGTTTAGCTGTGAAGACTACCTGAGAAGGATATCACTTGTGCTACCCACTCTAAAAACTGAGGGAGATGTTGATGACAAGTCATAGTAGAGTTTTAAAAATCTCAGTACAGAGTGCTAACAGAGTGTGGTAATTCACACAGAAATTTTATGCTGTAGATATCATTTTTCAGCAATGATGTGAAAAACTAAGTTGTGCATTATTCATTACTTGCATAATTTTTTACACTGTTTTTATTTTTCATTAATATGTTCTGAGGCAGCTACTTTCCGTAGTTAATTCTTGTCATTAAAAAAGTGTAGATTTAAAAAATTCAAGGAAGCTTTTTTTAGGATTGTCTTCAGACGTTTACTATTTCATTTTAATTCAAGTTTAAACAGTAGATGTTTCTGACTGTGTTACCTGACTTTTAGAGTAGTTACTAGTAGTTCTCCAACTTTGAGAATAGGAAGAAGGTGTTGATGACCAGAAGTAACATTCTTCCAACCGACTGTTCTCTGAAGGAAACTGTTTGGTCCAAAATCAAAATTTAGTCAAATTAAAAATTCTCCTTTCAAGCCTCTGCATATTTAGTATAACGAAAGAGGGGAGAATTTAGAGATGTTTATGGCCACATGTAGGTTTATCTATCCATACATCAACATGCATCTTTGTTAACCTAGGAGTAATAACTGATTATGTAATGCAATTATATGGGTCAGTTGAGTTGTCCTGGACAACATTTGTTACTGTTAGTGACTGAGGTTTGCAGAAGCCAGTCAATCAGAGTCAATATCTTGACATCCTTAAGTTCCTTCAGGTTTGCTAATCCTCTGCCCTTGTCACAGACATATCTGCTTTTCAGGATTACTCTTGCCTGGACAACAATTGGCTTTTATACCCTCAAAAGGAAATGTCTCAAACTTAAATATACTGTGTGATGCGGTTTAATAACAAAATATCCATCATTAATGGTTAATCCCTAGTTAATAGAAGAGCGTTGACCTTAACAAAGGTGACCAATTGAAAAGCTAATTTTGCCAATAAAAGTAAGAAATAGAAAATAATGTAATTTTTAGGATGACAGGGATTTTAAAGCATAAAATACTTTCAAAGCAATTAATAATTAACATGGATTGAGAATTTCGAAACTGGTGTTCATTAAAATGAGGTTTGTCAACAGTAATCCCACTAACTGAATATTACTATAATTTCATTGTTAAGTTATTACAATCAACAAGCTCCCAGTTTTATTTTCCTATTTATTTGTTGATTTGTTAGCTTATAAAGAGTCACCCAAAACTGTAAAGTAAATAAAAGGTATGCAATTTTTTACAAAAGAAAATTCAGTTTGATTTCCATCATAAAATTCTTTTCCAGAAATGTTACGAATTCCATCACTACAGAATTATTTTCATGTCATAATATAATCCAAGTCTACAAATCAATGGCTAAATTAAAGATGATTTCTCTTGAAGACATGATATTCTAGATTTCAGGTATGATTAGGGATGACAGAAAGATTGAGAATAATGAAAGATAAAATATTTTTTCATCAGATAACATGCTGGAATTTTTAACCCATACCTTCAGAATAGAAGTAGAAGATGACAGCATAGTTAATCCAGTGGTATCCCTGTGTCCTATTGTGACCTCCTGTAATCTTTCCGCTGTTCTTAAGCTGTACTCATCAGTTAAGGGAGTAAGATCTACTCCAGAAAATGAAGGCAGTTTTCCTTTGTGTGGTCTGAATGGTGAATATGTTTTTTTCTTGCCTTGCACCTTAAAAGTGAGAATCAGTTAGAATCGAATGGGAGAGGAGGGGGGAAGGGGGAAGTCAATACATGATTACCACCCTCCCCTCCCAGCATTACATTAGGTTTGCCCAACAGTTTTCCTGTACCTCGCAAGCACACAACTGAACTTTTAACATGGGTAGCAACAGAAACATCAGATAAGACAAATTATAAAAATTACAAAAAGATTTCAATAATAATCATTCCAATTGTTCATTGTTAAACACCTGCTTCTTTGAAAGCTCTTGAGGTTTATTTTCCTTTCTCTTCTCTGCAGTAGCTGGTGTAGGCTGTGCTGGACTACTTATTGACAAGGGAGTCTCTGGCACATCCAGTGCTTCAAATGGTGGTTCTGGGGCACTAATTAGGAAATTAAACATGAATGATTGGAGTGCATCTTGAACAAGTATCAAGAGATTAAACGCAAAGTAAAGATGGACAAAGAACATAATAAGCCTAATAATATAACTGTATCTGACCAACTCACCAACAGACTGACTCTCCCAGACAATTAAAATCACTTCGATAAGCTCAACACAGAATTAGTCTTACAGAATGAAAAAAAAGTAATTAAAGTTTCAACTGTTATAATGTTTCATTAACTGTATGCTGTAACAATACGAACCAAAGTGTTTGGCAATGGCCATACCATTACATACATACACTTAGATGCTATGGATGCTTTTCAACATCTTTCTGACACTTATTACACTATGGCAATGTGGATTTCTTCAGTAAGAAAGTTCATATGTTACAGTTTCTTGTTGTTGTGTATGTTGTGTTATATCATAAGCCAAAGAATCACAGCAAATGTTCAGGGATTTGGATCTCAGCATCTACTACTGCAGTTGTAATGGTACTACTAATGTTGTATCACTTTGGTTTACAAATGACTTGAATATATAAAAATCATATAAATTATACGAACTACAAATTTTATTTAGAATAAATGGATCCGAGAAAGATCGTCAAAGTGATGAACACTACTTAGAAGGCAATAGAAAAGTAATTTTAAGTGTGGGAGAGTTGACGTGGGCAAGTTGGTCAGTAGGCAACTTGTCTGTAATTCAATAAATTAACAACTCCACCTAGAGCTTATCAAAAAGCTGAAGCATAAAAAATTTCAGTACTTTCTCTACCAAGTCAATACAGAAATGTATGTAAAACATTTATGAAAACTTACCCTGGCCTTTCTTCAGCAACAGATGAAAGCTCAGACTCTCGATCTGATTGGATAGATGATACTGATGATGCTGAAGATGGCCGTAACATGATTGGCACTGACCCCTGAGCCCATGAATCAGTTAAAGGCGTTACAGGTTCTAAATAAAATTATATTTAACAAAAGATAATCCATATATAGAAACACATTTGCATCCAAAAAAACTAATACTTTCACAAACAACTAGATCTAATACTAAAAAACCATCATTACCACACTCAGTATATGTATTCAGGCATCTCTTCAATATATATAACAAACAATAAGACACAATACCATCTTCCTCCAGCCACGTTGCATCGCAAGCAGGGTTGTTCTCTCCCCCATCACAGGCAAGAAATTGCCACTAGAAAATAAGCAATTCAAAGATACTAATTAGATATTATTCCAGGGTTGCTGCTGAGGACCAGCTGTTGGTAAAATTTTCAAAAAAAAAGTGGCAATCCCCTGCTAGATAATTTTATGGCAGGTGATCACTCAGTAACGTATTATGGGCACTTCTAAGGTACAGTTACAGACTTACAGTCATTCAATATAGAACATTATTATTAAGCCACTCCACTCAAAATTTCAGCCACCAGCCTAATTTCTTAGCTTCATTCTTCCTACTTGTAATGTATAAAAACTAGAAATCTAATTGCCACATTAAACAGTTAAACAACTGGATGGAATTTCGACTCCAACCAACAAATTGTGGTTAAAACTTATTTTGACAAAAAAAAATCTACACTCTGCAGAAAATCAGTCTATGAAAACCTCCAACTCAAGGCTTACAAAAAGTATGGAGTACCATATAGGGTGACCACTATGGCTGGGGGTGGGTTTATGGGGGTTTCTAGTTATCAAACCTGATGCCTAAATTCAAAGTTCACTGTATTAACATTTGTACCCCTATACCTGCGCAAAATTTCACAAAATAGTTATAATATTTAGTCTCATTACTACACACACCTCAATGATTTGTAGAAGTAAATTTTTAGACTCTTGTATAGTATATGGCAATGTTTGACTGATGATATACTGATCATGAAGGACTTTCATGGTGGATTCCACAATTTCGTTCACTATATCAACAACAAATTCCTCCCCGTCCTCCTGGTCCACCATATGATACCTGAACATTAAAATAAAAAAAATTGGTTTAGACACACAGAGGAATTGGATAAGGAATTCTATCGGTATCTGGTAAGAAACTATACGTCAAGTAAAGTACCGCATTGAAAATATTACCAAATAATCTTTCCATGCATATGCTGCCCGTTCACTGCGATATAAAACACTTTCAAAGCTTAGAAAATACTCATTAGGCTGAAGCTGCTCTAAGTTACAATTCGAGCAACTCCTAAGGTCTCTAAACTTTCATGCCCTCTACACTTTCCGAGTTCTTGATATTAGAAAAAAGAAGTATCTCTCTTTCAACAAGAAAATTGGTGAAGGAAATATCACAATTTATCAAGATAAATTCTTACCAGTCAGCTTCTGTAAATCTTCCCGGTATAATATCATTGCTGGTAGGTGGTGGAGCGGACGTTTGAGCAGGAGTTTTTGTTTTATCTTGACGACTTTTATTGGACATGTTTACAAATGATGGCGAAGTTTTCTATTAGTTAGATTCGCATCAATGGCCAAAACAAGGGATAAGAACGGAAAGAAAGGTTAAATACTTGTTTCTATCGGCCATAAAAAGTTAGAAGAGCAGAGATCTCATCGGTAACTCTAGTAGAATCGCAAGTTCATTCTGCTTTTCTGTAACTAAAATGGCGGCTTTCGTCGAGTTAAGGCAGCCCGTTGCCATGGCGCTTTCATGCCCTCGTCCCAGTCCCGCGGATGATCAATGGGCTGGTATCTCTTCTTCGTTCAGTCTCTTTCGTTCTATTTCCAAACATAGAAGTCCTCAAAGAAGTCCGTCAGCAACGATAGCGGCTCGTTATTCTTGAAATTTACAGTAAGATGATACTATTTTGCTCCCCTTTCCCAGACCTGACTCATTAAAATCAGGGAATTGAGCTACTTTGAGGAAATGAGGGAATTGATTGGAGGGAATTGATTGAGGGAATTGGGGAATTGAGCCACTACTACTAAATTTTTCAGTTTACTCTAACATTTTGAGAAGCACTATTTTGGGGTACTTTTGTTTCACAACTATGATAATAACAAATGGGTGATTAAGAAAAGGGATTATAAGAAGGCAATTATTTGGAGAATAGGAATTAAAAACAACAAAACAACAGGACACTTGTTTTATCTAGACCCTTACACCCAATATCAGTATGCATATTTTCCATACTGTTCTCAGAGAGAATTCTCTGAATTCTCAGGGAGAATTTTTTAAAAAATCAAGAGCTTCTTTAGTGATCATTTCCTTTATTCTCCTGACCTTCATGTTTGATTCAGGGGTGATATGATTTTTAAGGAGAAATTCAATGTTAGTCACTCTTCACAGTTAAACAAACATGATACAATCAATCTATTGCAGAATTTTAAAATATTTAATAAACAAATACATAATAAATCTATCAAATAGCATTAAAGCCTGTGTTTCACAAAGCAAACTGCTTCTGAAAAAAATTAATGCACTATAAATACAACATCAGCAGTAGCAATGATATCTATAAAAGTTCTTTAGGTCAAGACCTAAAATTCTTACTACTCACACAACTGCATACAGAATAACAATGTTGACACATAAACCTGCATCTGAGCACTACTCTGAATTAAAGAAAAATACCAGAAAAATATTTTCAATGTAATTTGATAAAAACTTGGATACTGGAGGCCAACTGATCTTTTTAACAGGATCCTAAGAGAGCAATTTCCTGATACTGAAATGCAAAAGTATTGTAGCTAAGGTGCTTGACAAGCAATAGCATGAAGTGCTAAGGAGACTTCTGGTGACTGACTGACAACATCAGCAGCTGTCTTTCTGTTCAATGCATTAATATCTGACCCAGCAGCAAGAAGTAAGTTAACAGTTGGTGCACTTTCCCATGCTGCAGAAAGGTGCAATGATGTGTAACTCTGGTCATCTGTGAGCAAGACATCACTTCCATGGTCAAGAAGAAGCTCCACTACTGAAGTACTACCCCTGGCTAAACAATAATAAAAACAAATTAAAAAGAAATGGACCTTAAAGCTTAAGAGGGGGAAAGAGATGAGAAGGGGGTCTTTTTATGTATGACAACTTCATCCATCTGGAGTATGTTTCCCTGTTAAGAGACTCCCCCCTGGAGGTTCCTACTAAAGTTCCTCATGGTTCATCTGTGTGAATCCACAGACAAGTGTTTCTTCCCTTACTGACCATTGAACTGAGGGTTTCCTTTCCTCTACATCATTCTTTGCAGACTGGAAGACAAGAAATGGTGCTTACCATTTGTTTAAATGATTTTCAAGAGAAACCAATTCCCAATTGACTAGGTCTGATGTTTTAAGAGTATTCCCTAATATGCTGATATGACAAACACCTCTGATCAATAACAGTATTCTCTAAAAAAAATAGGCTTATCTAATTAGCAAGTTCTGTCTCAATTTTATTAAACAGCTCTAGGATTTTCTGAGAAGTTGTAATGCTTGATGTACGAAGTTTATGTGGGGGTGGGGTGGCTGAGTTTCTGATGGGCAACGTAACAAGTAACCAATCCCCACACAACCTTTCTTTTTCTCTTAGCTTAAAAGCCGCTCTATGTGATAGTGTTTGGTTCCACCGATCTCACAGCCTCACATTCGCATTATAACTCAACAACAACCTCGCTGCCTCAAAATTATCAATGAAGATAGGCAGCTACATGAACAGTAGAATGCCCCCCAGTGTTCCTCACATCTACCTCACATCCCGAAGATAGCAAAACCTTCATAGTTTTCACGTCGTTATTGACAATACATTTGTAAAGCGCAGTTTCTCCATCAGAACCTAAAGAATCGAGGTCGCGGTCACCTTGTAAGCATTATGGAGTGATACCGAAGCCGAGTGACCTACGTTTGCAGCTTCTTGCAAGGCCGCCTAACCAAAAGATCCGACTCTATTTGGACACCATGTTTGAAAATTTTGTGGACATTCAGTCTCTTGGCAGTCTCCAAGTTGGCAGAATTTTACTAAAGCTATCTGTTTGTGACGATTTGGTTGCATAATCATTATAATTTCTATCGGCACGGAGGCACAGAAACAGACTTACCAACATCGCTAAAGAGTATTCGTCTTGATTATTTTCACGAAGAAAACTCCCCCTGCATAGGAAATGCCCATTACGCCAACGAGAAGCAGAACAAAGAGTATCTCCGCCATTTCTAACATTCATTATCCATCAAGCATTTCGTTTGTGAGGTCCTCGCAAAGTCAATCACGCTTACCTACCCCTCCCCCGATTAGGCGTCTTAAGCTCGCAATAATCATAGATTAGCGAAGGGCGTTCGACCAGCTGAAAAATGGATCTTTTTGACTTGGCGTAGAAAAATCCAGTGCGTAATATAAACTTACGAACATCGAATGGTGCCGTGGCTCGCAGTTCTGACTTATAGTAAATCATTTCGTTCGATTAAATGTCAACTGTGTAAATCCTGAAATACATGTAATCATGACAATACAATCCAAAATACATGTAATCATGACAATACCGTATAGAAAAACTCACTGCTTGACGAGTGAATTCCACGTTAAATTTCACGCGAACATACGACATCGCACTCATCGCTTCGCAATTCGTGCGATATCGGTTTTTCAAGTGAAAATTAACGTGGAATTCACTCGTCAGGCAGTGAATTTTCCAACAGAATACTAATACTGTAGTTAACACCATATTTAATATATAGATCATTACAAGATATCCGCAGTATTTTCACAATTCTCACAATTATTTTTTACAATGATTAGATACACCCTTAGTTTTAGTTTGTTTTAACCATTTTGTTATGGTGTCCCTAAGAAGATTTAGACACTTAAATAAAGTAGTTGATTGATTGATTGATTTGCAATTTATCAACATATCTTTTCATGGCATCCAGCCAGAAGCGAATCAACGCCGCGGGATCTCGCGTGAAATCGAGGCGAGTGATGAGCCTGTCCAAGATGGCGCCCAAACCATGACAACGCACAGCATCCAGAAAGAAGCCACACGAATAGTATGCGTTCTCCTAACGTCGAACACAAATCGTCTATTTAGCCAAACGTTATATAAGGTTTCGTGTTTTTTTTTGTTTTTTAACAATTTGTGGGACAAAGCTTAAGGAACAATCATGATTATTAAAACTGTTGACAAAGCTATTAAACCATATCAAAAATTCACTATAAGCCCGAGTAGATTAATCGTCATAAACAACACAACCTTGCTGAATTTTTATCTGCGATGGTGGAAGACGGAGGGGAAGACGTCTAAGGAGAGAGATCATGATCTCAGATTAGCTCTAATTAAATCATACGCTCTTAATACTTTCAAAACAGGGAATAGAAGAATCAGTCTAGTGCTGAGTAACAAGACAGTTTTGTGATAGTGCCAAGAGAGGAAAGAGAACACAATGATACTGTCATTCAGAAAAAACAAGTGAATTTATTCTTCTTCTCAGGCACTCAGAGGTATACAAACATCAATAACATACTAAATATGCTGAAACGTTTGCAATCAAAATACTTGTAGGACCTCTCAAAACTCTTTACGAAAGCTTTTAACAGGGTTTCCGAGTCCCATTTCTTCAAGAGACTTGTATCTTTTACCAGGCTCCAAAATAGTAAATGCACCTTTGTAGATTTCTTCAGTAAAAGCCCTCCATCGACCGGCGTTTTCCTGTACAATTATAGACGAACCTCCCCTCGGAAGCTTCTCCGTTAAGTTGTTGGAGCCCTCACTGAGTTCCTGCGGTGACATTTGTACAGAAGTCTGAATTTTGATTCAGGGGTGATATTGTAATGAGAAATTAGATCCTAGTCACTCTTAGGGGTTGAGGGGTTAAGCCTTTGAGAAAAGTTGTTGTTTACGAGTACGGATAGTTTTTTTTTTTTTTTTGACAAGCTAAAGCCTAAGAATCTTATAAAATCTAATTCTAGGGAGATACAGCCATAAAACCTTAACAGTAAATGAGGAAGATTCTCGCCTAGGTCGGGAGGTATATTGAAAGCTCTCTCATATCACAGCACAGACATACAACGGATGTAAGTATTCACTTCAAATTTCCCTCTATCAGCATGCACCTATTAAGTCGATCATGTGACAGTCTTTACTCATGCGATACAATCCTTTTGGTCAGCGCCACGAGTCGAGGTATGAAGCTGGTCAAAAGGATCCCAGGCCCGGAAAAAACGTCTAAACGAATGCGTTCGATCATGTTCGATCAGATTTGATCCGGACGTCACAAGAATTTCATAGGAAAATGTGGGACGCGCACATTTCAGAATCCGTAAATATTACCACAAGGATCATTTTCTAAAGGTTAAAATTTAAACAGCTGATAACGAAAAAAAAAGCATTTAAATTGCTAAGGCCATACCACGCACTTTCCACCGTAGTTTTCAAGTTCAAAGAATATCAACTTGACGGATTCCTGTGCCATTTTCTTCGGAAAGCTGTGCGAGACAGAACGAAAAGAATTAATACGATCACTAAGTTTAACTTCCTTTAATCTATGTTTGTCCTTTGTGTCCATTTCTATAAGGAAAGCTGTAAATGACACTTGTGCAATAAGAAATAGGGGAAATGTGGGCGAATTCTCCCACTATGACTAGAGAGTTGTTAAAAATCGGCACTCTCTCCATACCGTTGTTCCTGGAATTTAAAAATACTCTTTGGCCAAAGACAAAAATATATAAAGAAATACCTGTGCCCAACTAGAATAGACAAATGTTCCTCCCGTGTCTTTGTGGTGCAATGGTGACAGCTCTTCTGACGTCTGCATATTCTTCTGAATCTTAAGACTCAAGAGGTTTGCTTTGATGACCTTGCCAATACCGCATAACTTAGGACTTCCTTTTCGGTAATTTTGTAAGACCTTTGAACACACCCCCTGCCGGAAATCAAGCCATCGACCTGCCACTTTTCGGAACAAAAAAATATCTGGTGATTGGGTGGAGCCTCTGTAATCTTGACATTAGCGTTATATTTGTCAAGTATCACAAGCAAGCAAAGCTCTTGATAGGCACACCGAGAAAAAAAAACAAAATTCTGAATTAGTATTTCAGCATCTTTAATAACTTGGTTACGTTTTTAATTCCATACTTCTTTTTGTTAATTTATGCATATGAAATACGTTTCTAGGCATGATTATGAATTACCACAGCATTTCAAATTGAACGGATGAAGTTCACGGACGTTTAACCTAATTTCTCTCAAGATGCCGCTTAACAAAGTCTCAAGAGGTTTCTAAGAACATACCAACCCAAATTTTGGTTTTTCGTGTTATAAATTAAATAAACCACTTCAAAGGACTTATGGTCGAAAAGTGAGCTAAATATTCCATACTAATAAAGCAACCTTACCTGCTACAGGACCACTAATAGCATATCGACAAACATGCTTCATTTCCACGTTACCTTATCCAAAAGTTGGCCATAGATATTCTTTGATTTGTTATTCATGTACTTAGAAAAGAGAGCAAGGCCAACCAGTAGTGACCTTTCCACTATAATTTGGCTGACTGAAACCTAACAATTTTCAAATGTTTTTAAAAATTCTTCCAAACAGTACATGGGTTGAACCCACGCGAAACATTATTTGTCATTAATCATCCACGAGAGGGTGGTCCTTACAAGTACTGTTGTCAGAAGCCATGATGTAAACGATGGTGTAATCGATTTTTTCCCGACATAGTCCTCATCAAGAACAAGTAGTTTTTTTTAACCGCTTGAGGAAATCGATATTGGCTTCCAAAACATTAGCTGAGTAATGGCGCATGCATCTCTGTTA